ATCAGGCTGAAATAAACGATAATTCAGAGCTGGGCTGTCCAAGACCTTCCATAACATACCCTAATCCGTGTTGAATAAGTGCTGCTATCAAGCGTGCAGGAGAAGCTGCTGAAGCAACGTCATCCATTGCGGTGGCAACCTCACCACGAATAAAAGCGGCACCAGCCTCTCCTGCTTTGCTTAGGAGGCATCGGATGCCGGCATCTACATGAGCATCCATGCCTCGGCCGAGGCCACGAAAAAGTGCAGCCATGGTCTGTACTGCCTGACGAGAAACCTATAAAAGAGAAAACAATTAAGAGATGAAGAAATCTGTTAGTCAAAGAGGATACAAATAAACCACATATAATTTAATAAACAAAATTAACATTATATCATGATCAAAAGGTGAACATTTTAAACAGATCTCAAAGCGTAATATAATATGAGAAGTATTCAACCAATTTCGTTTAAGGTTCGACTCCCACTGGGGGTGTTGATGAGACCGATGTGAGGTCGAAAGTGCAGTCCACCCTAGATGATAAGAACCTTTGGGAAAGCAAGGCTATGTTAAATTCAATGGAAACGTCAGCTCTACTCATATCATTGTGGGAAAATTCTACTACCAGTCCTTCATCATCTTAAATGAAATTCGGTGAATACATCTCATATTACTGATTTACTGGAAGTCTCGAAACTTTACTTAAATACGTAATATAATAATAAGCTTAGTAAACTAAGATGTTTTAAAATAGTACGTCCTATCAGGCTGGGTTTTAATTTTTTACGATAAGTAAATGGTCAATGGGAAAATAATGCCGCAAGTGAAAATTGCTGACAACTTCCCAGGGAATACAATACTAATTTGGCTCCTAATGGCCTTAAGGTAAATATGATTATATACCATTATCTTCAAGTTGCAATCAGTATACGCAATCGAAGTGATGATCTAGCACACAATCCGCGCGCCAATCAGCCCTAATGTATGAAAGCTATGACATGTAATACTCAAGTATCTGTTTAGCCAAATAGATCAAACGTTCCATCAAGAAACTCACTTGTGATCGCAGATTCCTGCACTCAGTAGTCACTGCTAGCATAACCTGGTGCAGAAGTTTGGCTGATTGTTGTCGCATCGTAAACGGCACCGCGATCGGCTGATTGCCTGATCCTCCACCGCTCACGGTACTGGAAGATGAACTTGTCTGTGCTCCTAGCTGCCATGATGGTGAAGACCCGATTTGACCAAGGAAGGCCGCATTAGAGTTGGCGTTATAGCCCATTAGCAGCGAGCACGGCTGATGAAGAGCGAGATTCGAGAGCGAGACGAGTGCAGTTACTTTCTCTTCCCAGTCAGATCGCGCCAATCCGGCCAAAATACCAGAAACGGTCGAATTAGAGCTGGTATTAGCTGTACTACTGGCGAGACTCAGGCCTGAACTGATACTATAACTTGTGAGTTCGCTCTCAGAAACACCGAAACCTCCACTACCATTGCTGCACAAAGCTTGACCGCCATTGCAACCTGAAGTAGCTTTTCTCGACGTCCGATGGGTGGAGTTTAGAGGCAAAGGACTAGAGACTTCGGCTTTGAAGGCATCGTTGAAATCGGATTTCTTACGATTATTGGCTCTAGAGTTATGCTCTTTTCTAAGTGTGAGAGACTCGTGGCTGAATAAGGCAAAGAGATAATTGAGGTTAGATCAATGGTTGTGCGGTTAGCTAGATGGAAAAAGGACAAGACAATTCGAGAAAAAGAATATGTGGATAAACATTTAGGTAAAAAATGAATATATATATATATATATATAAATATATATACTCAACACCCTAACTATGGTGAACTAGTTCAAATTTAAATCTCTGCGAAAAAGTAACTAACTCCTATATGGCAGTAGATGGCAAGAGTCGACGGATCATTTGATTAAGAGCGAAACAGGTGAACACATAAAAACCTCGAATGAGCAAGCGATAACCAGTAAATTCAAGATGTGATTTCGAAGACAAACACAAAAATTGTACAAAGAATTTACCTCTAAAATCGTGGGATCCTCGAAGGAAGAAACAAGTTAAATGATCATTGTGCTAGATCGAACAATAAAGACGTAAAACAGTGATACTAAAGCGTCTTTTCTGAATCACAAATTAAATTTCACTGGGTATGTAAAAAAATAATAATATACCTTAGCGTAAATCTAACTGCATTACAAAAAGAATTAATTTATCCCTTAATTTTGCAAAAATAATAAACCGCGGTATTTTCCTTTAGTCAAAGATAGTTTGTCTAAACGCCCAAGAATTAAACAAAATGCAAAAATGGATGAAT